TGTGGGCGGGGTCCGGTCCTGCCACCCACCACATGTGTTCCCATCCTGCCGCCTGTGCTCCTACCAAATTTGAACGTCCTAGGTCCACGGAGACAGAAGTTATGAATTTCCGTACAAACAGACAGACAGACAGACAGACGGACAGACGGACGGACAGACAGACGCGAGCGCTTTATATAAAGTAAGGATCCATTACCAAGAACTGAAGAGAATTCTCGGCGGTGTAATAACCCGAATACCCTGTCATACCTTTATAGTATCTCGACCAACTCCTAAGTTTTTCAGCGTATGAAGTGTGAATCGTCGTTGACTTCGATACCAATCATTTTCTTCGAAAATAAGACCATAGTTTCCCTAAAGCTGTCAATTTTTTGTCTGGTAGCTCTCATTTCTGTTCCGGAAGAAACAACTAGAATAATGTGACTAGTATACTAATATTTTTACCTCCACAAGAAGGATCATCACATAGGTGTCGGGCCGGCCAGCATAGGACTCTCCATCTCTGATCACCGTTCTTTTTAAGGCCTAAAGTCTGACAACCAGTTTTCTTATACAGTTCCTACATATTATTCAATTTGTTTCAGATTTCTCCCACACACTTCATGTCCATTGATGATTACTGTAGGATACGGTAGCCACAGCGTGAACACATCGCCGTACTGTTTTCGCAGTTCACGAAGACGTTTATCAATTCCGGACATTGGCAATTGGAAGGTATTTCCTTAATTAGAGTAATTTATGGTTAAAACAACAATAAATAAACAAAACGAGGAAAGATTCGCAAATAAACTAACCAATCAATGGCCATGGTGTTGGACCCGGTGGTAATCCAAGCAGACGATTGATGTTGTAGCAAAGTACGAACAATATCAGGGCAACTGCCAAGAGGATTTCAATGTAGCTCATACTTCAGCTAAATTACTTGCGAAATCCTTTTGTGGCAGTCGATTTTTTTCGAAGTCGATTTTTATTGAATTGCTCTTCGAGTGTTCAGAGAAGAAGCAGTAGGAGTTTGCTAGATATGCTGAGATGTGATATAAGCGAAATCCTTCTCCAGGATCTTATAAAGGGCTGTAGTTAAACTATAAATCTTGAGCTTTTCGATAGAAGATCTAGCTTACAATGACCTCCGACCCGTGGTAAATTTTGCTTAGAACGAGAGTAGGCTGAAAACCTCGGCGTTCTCTGATAATTTTCCTTAGCAGTTACGTAATTTCATACTTTGGTACGCGGATTGCCTGACTGCGCAGAAAATTGGAATGCTTCTCAAAAAATGTTTTTGAAGAGTTGAAAATTGAGCTTTTCTTAGCATTTCAAAAAAAATTATCAACTGAATTGAATATTTCTGCTCGAAACATGTTATTGGTTGTAGTATTGCCGAGTGTGTCCTTTTTGTTAGTTTTTTGAGACCTTTTTTGTGGCGAAGCCCAGTTTTTTGAATGATAAATGAATTGGAAAATGACGGCTGGCGTTCCTGAAATTCGTGGACTTTTGTGACTGGGCGGTATTGCCTGGTGTCAGTTACCGCTCACCTTACCCTATAATTTGTACAGTTGCCCTCTGTAGATAATGCGATTAAGGCTGGAATACATTGCTATCTCTATTTACAATGAATTTCTAAGGTTTATTCCTTCCCCATTTAAAGGCTGTGAGATGGCACAATGTTTGGACAGAGTGAAAAGAAAGGTTCATGGCAGGGGGTTGTCGGCAAGCTACTGAGCATTGCGCTAGTCCGACCCCTATCCAGGGGCAAATTTTAAGAGGTGGAATTTAAAAACAGATTTTCATTAGAAATATTGCGTACATTACTATTATGCACATTATTTTATTGTGGTGTAGGGCTCATTCGCATTTGGTTTTTTGAAGAAGCCGGATAAGTATAACCTTCTCTCATGACAACGCTGGAAGCTGCGCATCACCCGGCACATCTGCCAAAGCTGTAGGGGCGA